TCTCTCTCTCTCTCCCACACACACACACACCCACACACACACCCACACATACACACACACACACACATGCACATAGACAAGTATACATACATATACATACACATATAGACACAGATACATACACACAGATACAGACAGACAAGACAGACAGACAGACAGACAGACAGACAGACAGACAGACAGACAGACAGACACACACACACACACACACACACACCTCTTTTAAAACATAGAATCCTGAGCTGGGGTGCTGGCAAACACCTTTAATCCTAGCACTGAGGAGGCAGAGACAGGCAGATCTCTCTGAGTTCCAGGTCAGCCTACATACTGAGTTCCATACAGATGGAATTGCATAATGAGACTGTCTCCAAAAACAAAATAGACAAATGAGCAAATAAAATTCACCTTAGCCTGGAGGAGGAGGGCTTAGTGGTTAAGTGCATGTACTGTTATTGCAGGGGACTCAAGTTTGGTTTCCAGCACCCATTGTGGCTTACAACTGCCTATAATTCTAGTTCTAGGAGATCTAATTAGTGCCATTTTCTAGCCTCTAAGGGTTCCTGCACACACCTGGTGCACACAAATGAATGCAATACACAAATACACATAAAAATAAATCTTTAAAAAAATAGCTCTCTAGATGGCTCAGAGTTTAAGAGCACTGACTGCTCTTCCAGAGGTCCTGAGTTCAATTCCTAGCAACCACAGGGTGGCTCACAACCATCCGTTATGAGATCTGGTGCCCTCTTCTGGTGTGCAGATATACATGGAAGCAGAATGTTATATACATAATAAATAAAATCTTTTAAAAATAGCTCTCTATTAAAAAGAATCCCACTGGACGGTTGTGGCACACACCTTTAATCCCAACACTTGGGAGGCAGAGGCAGGTGGATCTCTGTAAGTTCCAGACCAACCTAGTCTACAGGAGCTGGTTCCAGGACAGCCTCCAAAGCCACAGAGAAACCCTGCCTTGACCCCCCACCCCCATGCCCACCCCCAAATATGTGAATGAATGATCTGTGCTATGACCTCCCTCTCCCAAGTGAGTAAACAACTGTGCCAATATTTGTTTATTGAATCTATTATTTTGTATTTTATTTGATTTTTACAGAAATGAAGGAAAAAGCCAAAGCAGATCAAGATCCAGAAAGACCAAGTCCACAGGGTTCTCAAGAGATCTGTCCAGAAGATGACACCTATAGCTATGTTCTGTCTTAACAATACTCAGCTATGACGTTGCAATCCAACTGAACACAGAATACACATCTTTGCTTGTATGATTTTATGGAATCCTTGAAGCAATTGCTACCATTTGCATTACTATTTCAGCTTGTGTTTTTTCCGTGTAGATCTTATCTGAAAGACAGAAGTAATTTTTAAAGGCTCTAACACATAGACAATTGTGTGTGTGTGTGTGTGTGTGTGTGTGTGTGTGTGTGTGCCTGCCTGCGTGCTGTCTGAGGATGTACATATGTATATAGGGGAAGGTGGCAGAGGGAGGGACAAATAAGAGTAGGGGAAGTGGTGAGTAGTTGATTTTTCCCTCTAAGAAGAAACACATATTTGTTAATTCTGAGAAGATAAATTTGAACTTAATATTTTGCTTCAGGAACACTTAATATTTTGAAAGTATATAGTTTCTTGTGATTTTTGTCAATCATTGATGTTGTAATATCAGAATTTTATTCAAGTTTTAGATGGCTCTCTGAGCTAATCTCTTTGTTTTGTTTTGTTTTCCCATTCTTTGTGTAACAGACCTGTCATCCTGGAACTCACTTTGTAGACCAGGCTGGTCTCCAACTCACTGAGATCTGCTTGCCTCTGTCTACTGAGTGCTGGGATCAAAGGCGTGCGCCACCACTGCACAGCAACAATTCTTATTCTGGAACTTCTTGAAAAATATTTTGGAATTGATAAATATCATTTACTTCTGTGTTTGAATCTGGACCTTGTATTTCTATTTTTTCAACTGTATTAGTGAAAAATGTACATTAAATCATTACTATGTCATAAGCTGTGTTACCAAGACAGCATCTTGATATGTACTGGAGTGGGGTAGGTGGTAAAACACCTAAAAGGTAAGCCATCTTTGTTCACTAAGGTTTAATCTGGTCTCACAGAAAAACAGAAAACAAATCATTCCAAAAGAAAGCAGTAAGTGTGGCAGCTTCCTCTCCGAGGAGCCTATGCCTTGGCTCTTGGGAATGTTTCCTTCCTATCAGAGTGCCTCTCATTCTCTTAACCTTCATACTTAAAAAGTATATTAAAGTGTCATTAATAACCTCCCCCAAAGGGAACAGTGCTGGTGCCATATGAACAGTACATGTAATGAGAGGAGTGCTCATCTATCCTGATGTGGAGAGTTGCATCTGCACAGGACACCCACACCAGTACGGTTCAAGGTCAAGAGATCTGCATACCAACTGTGGCAAAGTCAGGTCCATATGGGACAGTTGATTTATGTTAAAAATCTGTCATGAGGCAGCTAATCTATTATTGGAGTGTAGAGACCCACCTGGACCTGGAGTTACAGGAGGTTGTGAGACATCTGACATGGGTACTAGGAACCAAATCTGTAAACCTGGTCCTCTTTGAGAGTAGTGTATTTATTCATTTATTCTTCCTTTTGACAAGGATTCATTATGTAGATCCAAAATGATCTAGAACCAGCCCTATAGACTATGCTGGCTTCAAACTCATAGAGATCTGCCTGCCTTTGCCTCCTGAGTGCTGGGATCTGAAGCATTCACCACTACACCACTACACTGGGCCATAGAAAGTAGTCTTAACTGGCTGAACCATGTCTCCAGCCCTGGGTGTAGAGTTAAAAGACTTAATCATTTACTAGACTAAGGAGTAAGGCTTTTACGTAATGAAGATGAAGTGTTTGTATTTCAGGAATCCAGCTGGTTACAATGGTAACAGTGAACTTAAAAAGATAGGAGACCAGGAACACAAATGATTCTTGGTGGGAAAATATTTGAAAACATTCCCTGGTATTTCATTGATTTAGATTTTCCTTGGGCTACCATTGGAGACTAAAAATAACACAGACATTGGCAAATAAAAGCTCACTCAGTAAGACCATATGCTAGATTCTGAGGTTGTATCAAAAAGGCAAACCCACCCCTCACAATGGGTGGCTCATGAGAGCCACCAGGGGAGCCTTTGAACATGCAGGTGCTCAGGTCTCTTCCCTAGGGTTCTACTTGAGGTGACATCTAGGCACATGGGTATATATGCTTTTTGAATTGCCTATGCTCTAAGGTTCTATATAGCTAAAATTTTATTTTATGTATGTTTCCTACACGTACATCTGTGCACCACAGCATGCCTGGTGCCCACAGAAGACAGCATCAGATCCTTTGGAACTGCACTTATGGGGAGTTATGCCAGTCTATGTGTGTGCTGGGAATTGAACCTCGATCTTCTGCAAGAGCAACAAGTGCTCTTAACCACTCAGGTTTTTCTTTTCTTTATCACTTGTGTTGAAGACAGGGTCTTATATAGTCCAGGTTGGTCTAAAACTCACCTTGCAAGCATGTGTCGCCATGCTTGGCTTTATGAAGTGCTAGGACTTGAACCAAGGACTTTGAACACACTGGGCAAACACTCTTCCAACTGAGCTACATCCCCAATCCACTTAAAAAAAATGTGTGTGTGTATATGTTCTTGGGTATTAGTGAAAGTGTGTGGCTTCATGAGTGCCCATGTATGCACAAGCATACGAGAAGGATGATGATGTCTGCCTTTCTCAATTGCTCTCCATCTCATTTGAACCCAGAGTTAATACTTGAGCCAACCAGCTTGTTCTAGGAATTGCTTGTCTCTACCTCCTGCAGGCCACTACACTGGCACCCAAACTCTAGTCCCTTAGTTGCATGGCAAGTACTTTACCCACTGAGCCATCCCCCCAGCCCCTTGTCCTGTTTCCTTCCACCATCCCCTATAAGTCCATGCTACTTTCTTAACTACATCCAGACACCCTGTGAATCAAATTATTGCTGTTTTCTTGCTGGTGTAGAGCTTTGCCGTCATGCATTACAATTCCCCAAGAATAAGCCAGGCATTGGTGGCACATGCCTTTAATCCCAGCACTCGGGATGCAGAGGTTGGCGGATCTCTGTGAGTTCCAGACCAGCCTGGTCTCCCCCCCCCCCCCGCCCCAAAAAAAGAATTTCCCAAGAATCCACCTTATTTCTACTTTGTGCTGCCCTCTTCTTATGGCAGGAAGTAGTCTGGGTGTGCTGGAGCTACATCTGGAGTCTTGAAAAAAATTGTGTACCTGTGGCCTTGGCTGGCCTCCAACTCAGAGATAAGCCAGCCTCAGCCTCCCCAGCGCTGGGATTAAAAGCAAGAGCCACCATGCCTAGCTTTTAATTTGGGGTGTGTGTGCACATGTGTGCAGGTGCCTGTGGAGGCCAGAAGAGGGCATCAGATCCTGTGAAGTGGAGTTACTGCGGGTTGTGAGCCGCCACATAGGTGCTGGGAATCCAACCTGGATCCTAAGGAAGAGCTAGTTGCCTGTGCTTTTAACGGCTGAGACATTGCTCCAGCTCCCCTTAGTTTGTTTTTAAGGCAGATTCCTAGGTCTAGCGTCTCCAAGTCTACTTTGAGTTTCAATAGTTGGCACAGTTGGTAACTATACACTTTTGGTATGGTTATCAAGTGACTAGCATGAATGGACAAATGCCTTTTACTTTTCGGTTTTGACTATCGTATTAACAGCGCCGACTAGTGGCAGTTGCAGTTTATTCGGCTTATTTTTTGAAGCATACAGATGTTGCCCAAGGGTTCTCAAACTTGTTTGTCTAGCTAAACCAGTATCTCCTAAAAGAAAAAAGGAAAAAAAGAGTCTTTTGCAAGTTTCATGTACAAAACTCCTGATAAGAGGACACGGTTATCAATTTTAACTTTTAGAAAACCCACAATTTCCTCTTAAAAACCTGCCTCCTAATACTGGCCATTTCCTACTCGTGACTTGCTAGTCAGTGACAAAGAATTTAGAAGCAACTGTTTTTCATGGTTAAGCCTTTAATCTGTAGACTTATATATTTTTAGTATTTATGTTACAGGTAATGTGAGGTGGATTCCCCCCCCCGCCCCTTCTAAACGAACAAGATTTTTGAAATTTCTGAAACAATTATGTATGCAAAGAAACAGTTTGGCTGAAAGACTCTTACAAGTGGTTAAAACACAGGCAGTTGGTGCAGGGACAGCTGGGTATTGCATGAGATTAAAGTACAATTCTTGCTGGTCCCAGCTTTCCGATGTGTGTGTGTGTGTGTGTGTGTGTGGGGGGGGCTCTTCACTCTCATTTTGGTTTCGGTGGTTTGGAGCTCAAGAAACGTCCCCAATTATTAACTCCTAGCCTACGCTGGCTGTAACATGCACCACCTTGATTCACTTGGGCTTCTTTCCCGACAAACGATTATTACTGAAAAAATGGAGCAGAGTTGTAAATGTAGCCCACGCCCAAGAAGAATTTTAAACGTTTAACCTCCAGTTCTTGGGCTCAGCGCGCTAACACTGAAGAGCCGAATTTGGTTCCCGGAGCCACACGGTGAAAGGAGAGAACCGGCTCCTGCACTATGGTCGGACTTCCACGTGTTCCCACGCACACATAAACGTAAAAAAGGATCCCCCAAACTCCAGCTCTTTGGGTTTGTGATCACTGACATTCACACCGATTCCCTGTGAACTGCGGGTCATCCTTTGGCCATGGAGTCCGCTCATAATTCAAGGGTGTCTTTGCGTGTACATCTTTATCCACGTGTCCCCCCTTCGGGGACACCGCAGGCTGTCTCAAGAGCGCCAGCGCCGCATAATGGGTGGGAGCTGGGCGGCACGCTCAGCTTCTCCGCGCCCAACAGAGGCCTCCACGCGGTGGCCCGCCCCCGCGGGTGTGCGCCAAAACCCGGCACCAAGCGACTACTGCGCAGGCGCCCAAGCCTACAGGGCGGAAGCGGAAGCGGAAAGCTGCGCACGGCGCGTAGACGATTCAGAGGCTCGCAGCCATGCGCGGCTTGGCGGAGCGGGGCCCTTGCGCGCCTGCGGCCCCGTGCGGGTGTGCTCAACCCGCCCTGGAGACAGGTAAATTATAGGAAGCCGCACGCGCCGCGCCCGCAGCAGCATCATGCTAAGCGGCCGGCCTCCTCGCCGAGAAGAACGCGAATTGCCAGACGGGTGTTCTTGTCCTTGCCGCCAAAGCGAGGGTCATGTGTCCGTGCTATCACGTGACATGCCAACGCCCACGGGAGTGACGTATTACGTTCTTGTCACACGGGGTGTGGCCTGGCCTCAGTCCCAGCGCAGTAGCTTGATTGGCCACGTGTGTTTTATGGTCTCCTAGGGAGCTACAGAGAGCTCATTTGGCCCTAGGTTCCTATCTTTAATCCTCTTTCACAGGATCATGGATGAGGGTCGAAAAACAACAACAACAACAAAAAAACCAAACAAAAATAATACAGCAGTACCCGAAAATACTCTTAGAAAAGACTTGAAAGTTGTCGGAAACATACACAATGTAGATGGGCACAGAAAGCCAGTCTAGGAAGATGATTTACACTGTGGTGTCGGCTTTTATAGAATTCAGAGTAAATGCAGTATTGTTTAGGCTCAAAAGTACATGTGATCAGATTGTTTCTGAAAGGAAACAAATGAGGACGATCAGATTGCAGCTCCTTGGAAGCAGCCTACAGAGATGCAAGCAGTTAGTAGCACTGTGGTTGGTGTGGCTGGTATTATACTTTAACTTACATTCGTACTACATATAATCTTTTCTGTGTATAAGTAATAGAGTTTTATAAATAGTAAGGAAATGTTTAATGAGAGACAATCCCAGATTTGTAGTCTTATTGGTTGTGCTAATAAGACAGATTTAATACAAATGAGGTAAAATGGAGATCTGGAATGTCTCTTCAAAGAACCCACAAAGAAGTAATTATAAATATCAATTGTCATTGTGATTTCTACCTCAGTATATAATCAAAACGTTTGTTAAAATAATTTGTGTGTTTATGTAATTATAAATAAATATTGAGGTGGGTATGCTGGTACACAGTTGTGATCCCAGCCGCTGCGGGATGGGACTGACGCCGGAGACTCATGAGTTCGAGGCTGGCCTGAGCTACTAGCAGGACTCTGTATTTAAACATGTTTTTAGTAGTTGTGTTGTACCTAGATTTTAGAACTATGAAATCAACACATGAGAGGAAAACATGTTTTGTTACATCTTTGACCTTTTGAGTAATCTTACCAATTTTCTTCCATAGGAAATCTTTTAACTGAGCCAATAGGCTACTTGGAATCATGTTTCTCAGCCAAGAATGGTACTCCAAGGCAGCCGTCCATTTGTAGCCACTCCAGAGCCTGTTTAAAGATCAGAAAGAACATCTTTAATAATCCAGAACATTCCTTGATGGGCCTAGAACAGTTTTCTCATGTTTGGTAAGTTGTTTTATAGTTAGAAGTGTAGAATGGGTACTGAGAATGTATGCCAGCTGAAGGCAACTTTGGAGGCTGCCATCATCACCACACTTATCTGTATAACTATGGATTATGTATGGATTCCCATACCCAATTTGTGCATTTGATTATTTGCATATTTGAAAAATGTTAGCGTACTACATGGCAAACAGTAGGCACTTGGAAGTGGTGTTCACTTGGCCACGTATAAGTTTGGTAAGTTCCTGCTGTAGGCCCGTCTTTGTGTTGAGTACCAAGCATGTGGAGATGCTGCTCTGCCCACAAGGACAGAGGGAGGGCTTATTTCCTATGACCGATAAAGTCAATAAAAACTATTATTTTTATTTTTTCCAGACAGGATTTGTCTGTAGCTTTGGAGCCTGTCCTGGAATTCGATCTGTAGACAAGGCTGGTGTCAAACTCACAGAGATCCACCTGCCTCTGCTTCCCCAGTATTGGGATTAAAGGCATGCTCCACCACCACCCAGCCAATAAAAACTATTCTTTCTGTTAATTAGTGGGAGATTACATTCCCTTCCGAAATCATTATACTAAAATAATCTGTCCTTTTTAAACAAGCTGTTTGGTTTGTTTTCAATAGGATTTTGTTTGTTTTTCACAAAAACGGCCATTTGAACTACAAGGCAAAAGTGCAGCCGCCTAGGTTGAATGGGGCAAAGACTGGCGTGTTCTCCACAAGGAGCCCACATCGCCCTAATGCAATAGGACTGACCCTGGCCAAACTGGAGAAGGTGGAAGGTAACTCACTCATTTTACTCTACTAATGCTGGCTGCTGGGCAAGGTGGAAGGTCTCTCACTCACTGCTACTTTGACCTTTCCTGTCTTACTCTTAAAAGTCTTATAAAATCAGTTTAGAATTCACTGTAGCTGCTGTTCATGCCAACACTGTATTGTCACTTTTGAGAGCCCTCAGAAATTAGAGATGTATGGTGATTGAAAGGGTGTCAGCATTGGAAACACTACAAAACCAGCTCTTAGAAGGAGCTCAGAGCTTGTTTTTTTATCATTCTGCTATAAAAACAAAACAAAACAAAAAACATTAGATTAGTAATAACATTTCTTAAGACTTGGGATGTAGCCGGGCGGTGGTGGTGCACACCTTTAGTCCCAGCACTTGTGAGTTCGAGACTAGCCTGGTCTACAAGAGCTAGTTCCAGGACAGGCTCCATAGCTACAGAGAAACCCTGTCTTGAAACACAAAAACAAAAACAAACAAACAAAAACTTGGGATGTAGGAAATACAAGATGATTAAAATTCATTGACTATTTTCAGCTGTGATTCATAGTGCCCAGTTGTTCATGCATTTCTGGAAAGCAGAAGAGTGGTATCATTTCTTCTTTGCATCCTGAAGAAAAGAGACATTTGGGCTGTAGTGAAGGCTATCAGCTGTGCTGTGTGCTAGTGGCCTGGGATGTTGCATTACAGGCTCTAGCATCTGTCAGACTATAGAAGTGCCATGTAGAATATGGGATTGGTTTTAACTGTGCTCAGGTATAACCTAGTCAGACATTTTCAGAGAGCTTCTGGTTTTTGTTGTTGTTTTTGATACAGGACTTATGTATCCAGGTTGACATTCAAATCCATATAAATCCATACAGGACTGAACTTGAACTTCTATGATTCCACCCAGTTTACATGGTGCTCGGGTTGAACCCAGGGCTTGGTGCATAGTAGGCAAGCACTCTGCCAGCTGAGTTCCACCCACGCTCAGAGAGCTTCTTACTTTGGAATAACAGACCAAGCTTTTGTTAGAGAGGCAGAAGATGACAACATATGGAGAGGAGTAGGGAGCCCATTCCAGGCTGCATCTTGATTGCTTGCTCCTGAAGTGGGTGGAAGCATGGGGGGGGGGCTGCCTCTCTGACTCTACAGAACTTTTTTTGCTGAGGATGGTACACAGCAGGTCTTCAGGGCTCTTTAGGATGTTGGACTAAATAGTCAAGAGGCTATTTTGTTCTTCTTGAGCCCTGAACTCTGCTGAATTGTGCTCAGTTGTTGGGTAGGTTTTCAGCATATTCAGTTGCTTGTCCACCTGGCTTTCTTAAGATGACTTATTACATTAGACAACAGCACTAGAACATTTTCTGTTCATGCAAATTGTTTGTCTTGGTTACTATTGTCTTGGTTACTGTTCTGTTGTTGTGGTAAGACACGATGACCAAGGCAACTTATAAAGGAAAGTATTTACTCAGGGCTTACAGTTTTAGATTATAATCCATGACCATCATGGTGGGGAGCATTGCAGCAGGCAGGCATGGTGCTAGAGCAGTAGCTGAGAGCTTACATCTTGATCGAAAAGCATGAGGCAGAGAGAGCTGACTGGGAAAAGCATGGGCTTTTGGAATTTCAAAGCCCACCCCTACTGACACACCTTCTCCAATAAGCTTCTTCTTCTTCTTCTTCTTCTTCTTCTTCTTTTGGTTTTTTGAGACGGGGTTTCTCTGTGTAGCTTTGGAGCCTATCCTGGCACTTGCTTTGTAGACCGGGCTGGCCTTGAACTCACAGAGATCCTTCTGCCTCTGCCTCCCGAGTGCTGGGATTAAAGGCGTGTGCCACCAACCCCCGCTAAGGCACATTTTCTAATCCTTTTCAAACAGTCTCACCAACTGGGGACTGTGTTTAAATATATGAGCCTTAGGAGCCCATTCTCATTCAAGCCACCATACTATACATCTTTTTTAAAAATCATTGACTTTGTGTCAGGCTTTGTAGATGATAGAGATACCATTGGTGATTAGCTCAGATAAAAATTCCTGCTCACACAGAACTTAGTCTCTGTTGAGGGAGGTGAAATCAGAAAAGTAAATGGGCAAACACTAATCAATTATGAATAATGTGGGGGTGGAGACAGTAGTGCTTTTTATACCTGTTGCGAGCCAGTCATTCCCGTGTCAGAGGCCAGTTGACAAGTGAAGAGCATGATTAATAGCATTCATGCACAGGGACAAAAGACAGCCTGGAGCCATGAACAGGAGTTTGCTATGAACTCTTGGGTTCTCCTATGAATCCCATCATTTAAATAATCGTGTGTCATCTTTACCCAGTTCCAGCCTTGCATATAGCATGTTTCAGACATCTGGGTCTTCTTGAATCATGTGAGCACATGTTGTGTTTTGGTTCTCATTCATTTAGTGTTCCAAGACTCAGGATAGGGATGCTCTGTACCAGTAGCAGGAAGTGGACAACAGCCATGCAAGTGGGACAGCCGGAGACCTGGCTTAGTATTTAGTTGTAGGGTCTTGTGCCCTGCTCAGTTTTTTCAGTCTTCATGGACATAGTTCTGGTTTTGTGTAGCAAAATGATCCAAAGTGTATCTGTTTGGGCAGCACACCTTGCTGATATGTTTAAAACTTCTCCAGGGGTCAGAAGGATGTGCTCATCTTTGCTGGTTCTCTGCAGTGAGGTTATTACAGAACCCATTTCCTCATAAATGTAGGACTGAGGGCCCCACCTTTGTTGCGGTATTGTCTGGAGTCACCCTCAGGTTCTGAACACTGCCCACATTTCTAGGGCATCTCATGGCTGCTTGGCACCTGGGCGTTCCCAGCATGCCTGTGCACTTTACTGGGCTGCAGGGAAAGTTGGTCAGGTTGAGTCTGTGGCCAGCAAGGAGTCCTATATGGAAACCATCACTGGAGGGTATCAGAACTCTTTGCCATATTTTTTTGGCTTAGATTAAGTTGAACTCAGTGGAGGGGTTACACAGGACATGAGCACCAAGTTGGGGAGCATGTCAGGCCTCCTGAAGTCTGCTTGCCATAGTAGAAATACACATTGGTCTTGGTGACATGCCGAAGACTGACATGTGCCTAGGAATGATGCAAAGATGAGTAACCACAACATGTGTTCCAGGAGCCTGCTCACTGTCAAGGCATAGAGGCATCGGTAAGCCATTGTCCTTCTGGGTGAAAAGGCTTGAGTGGAAGTTTATACACTTACGCCTCCGTGGAACCCAGAAGAAAGAGCCAGGAAGGTTTGTAAGTGACATGTTTGGTGTGAGCCTTGAGGAGTAGAGTTTGGCAGGTGACAATGTGGGTTTCCAGGCAGAACAGTGTAAGGGCTCAGTGAGGTGCAAGCAGGTTTTTGGAGAGAGACTTAGGGATAATCCTGCCTGTTGCACTATCCACTGTAAACACATAGAGGATCTTTGTTCCCCTGCAGGTGGCGCTGTATACCTGTCTGGAATTGACATGATACATGGCACACCTGTGCTAGACATAAAGCCCTACATTGCTGACTATGATTCACCTCGGAGCGAGGAGCCTTTGGAAGATTTGAATGTGCAGAGTAACCACCGTCTGCTGAGGCCTGCATCCCAGTCTGATGGCACAGCTGACAGTTGTGACCAGCGGCTGCCCTTAGGGTGTGGGAAAGCACAGCATGGCCGTAGCACTGAGGAGAAACAGACATGCCTTGAAGACAGAACCCCAGAAGAAAACTTCACAAAGTCCAGAGACAGTACAGAAATCCAGCACACTTCGCCTGAGGATAGAGAGACAGTAGTGGATTTGGTGCTGGAATCAAGCAGAAGTGACAGTGTGGGTATGGCTGAAGAGCAGCGTGGCCCACAGGATCTGAAAAGCTTTCTGGATGAAGGCACAGATAGGTCCAGGAACATGGAACATGCCTTGGGCCTGCAGGGGAGCAGTGCAGAGACACGGTGGCCTTCCTGCCATGCCAGGACAACTGACAGAGTGCCCTGCAGTGTCGTCCCCACCTGGGTGAAGGAGGCCCCTGCACCCTCTTTACAAGTCCGGTTTACTCCTCATGCTGAGCTGGACCTGAAGAAGCTCAGTCCAGGAGGTACGCTAGGGTACCTGGGGTCTCCTAAGCCTGAGTGAGAGATGAGCTCACCTTCCTTTGTTTCGTATGGGTTCTTACTGTGCTGGGGATCAGAGCCTGTGCATGTTAGCTACAGACCCAGTCAAATGACAAGCTTTTCTTTATAATGAAATCTAGCTAGGATTGATACTTCTGAAAACAGGTTTTTTAAAATTTTTTATTTATTTATTATGTATACAGTCTTCTGCCCGCATGCCAGCAGAGGGCACCAGATCTCATTCAAGGTGGTTGTGAGCCACCATGTGGTTGCTAAGAATTGAACTCAGGACCTCTGGAAGAACAGTCAGTGCTTTTAACCGCAGAGCCATCTCTCCAGCCCCATATATATATATATATATACATATATATATATTTATTTTTATTTTCATTTGCCTGCATATATGTCTGTGTAAGAGTGTCAGGTCTCCTGGAACTGGAGTACAGACAGTTGTGAGCTGTCATGTGGGTGCTGGGAATTGAACCCTGGTCCTTTGGAAAAGCAGTCAGTGCTTTTAACCACTGAGCCATCTCTCCAGACACCCTCCCTTTTTTTTCTTTTGTTTTTTTTCGAGTCAAGAGTTTCTCTGTGTAGCTTTGGAGCCTGTTCTGGAACTTGTTCTGGAGACTAGGCTGGCTCTGGGACCCTCTTCTCAGGAGCTGCCTCTGCCTCCCAAATACTGGTATTAAAGGCGTGCACCACTGCTGCCCAGCTTTTTAAATAGTTTTAAAAATTTATGAATATGGTGTTCTATCTGCATATACACCTGCATGCCAGAAGAGGGCATCAGAATCCCATTATTTATGGCTGTGAGCCACCATGTAGTTGCTGGGAATTGAACTCAGGACCTCTGGAAGAGCAGCCAGTGCTCTTAACTGCTGAGCCATCTCTCCAGCCCCCTGGATTATAAATGGTGGGTGCACTATCACATGACCCTTTCTGTTTGACAGCCCTTAAATTGGTGGTTAGGGCTGGTGCTCAGAAGGCACCTGTGGCAAGTGACTGCTGCCTCAGGAGATGCCCATGACCTGCAGCCCTTATCTTTCATTCATTTATTTAATATTTATTCTATTTTAATAGCATATATGCATGTGTGTTAGTCTTGGGGGTATGTGTTTTTGTAGGAGCTGGTGGAAAACGGGTGGGGGCTTTGGATCTCCTGGAGCTAGAGTTACAGGCATTTGCAAGCTGCCCAACATGGGCAGTAAACACCAAATTCAAGTCCTTTGTATGAGCAGCAGGTGCTCTTAACCACTGAGCTGTCTCTCCTGCTTTGCTTGCCTTTCTCTGTTCTCTTTTCTAACAGTATTCAAATGGTAGATAGTGCTTGGTCTATACTTGGATATGCTCAATTTCTTACTTGCTTTTCTATGTGTCCTAAAAGGTATCTGTTTTCTTCTGTCAGGGGACCCCAGGATCTGGCAGGGAGAGAAGACCCTCCTGCTATAGTGCTTCCCCACAGGACATGCACTTCCTGCCAAAGGAAGGCCACAGGGCTCTGTTTTGGAGCCCATTTAATACATGGTTCTTAGCATGTGTTGTTTGGGTTCTCCAGTCCATAGCAGATGGAGAATGAAGGAAGCTGGTAGCTGTTAAGAGGTGGGAATGAGGATGCTAGCAAAAAAGTAGCTTGTTTCCAAGGAGATGATACCCAAAGGGCTGAGAGTTAACAACCAGCATGGCCCTGGGAAGAGGGACACGCACCTGTGCACTGTGCAGTTGTTCCCTGAGCCCTCCATGGGAAGAGGGACACGCACCTGTGCACTGTGCAGTTGTTCCCTGAGCCCTCCATGGGAAGAGGGACACGCACCTGTGCACTGTGCAGTTGTTCCCTGAGCCCTCCATGGGAAGAGGGACACGCACCTGTGCACTGTGCAGTTGTTCGCTGAGCCTCTGCAGCACTGTTCTGACCTGTGGGAGAAACATCAGTGAGGAAAGGGCATCAGAAGACCTCTGCTTCTGCAGAGTTTACATTCTAATGGGTGGAGAGACGTAAGCCCAGGTCAGCATGCTGCTGTGCAAAGCACACAGAAACACACGCTGTTAGAAAGCAATGGTGGCACAGGACATAATGAGGAGAGGGCAGTGTTAGAGGACACACATCAGAGCACACACCAAGGAGATGGAGTGAATCAGCTTGACCAGGGACAGGAAGCCAGCCTCTGGAGAGCCATTGCATGGCCCCAAGAGGAAGGGTGTGTGGCTCCTGAGAGGTCATGTAGCACTGAGGAGGGTCCCAGAAGCAACAGCAAGGGCATGAGGCCACATGGGGTTTTATATGCCACTTAAAAAAACATTTGGCCTCTGAGCGGTGGTGGAGCACACCTTTAATCCCAGCACTCAGGAGGCAGAGGCAGGCGGATCTCTGTGAGTTAGAGGCTAGCCTGGTCTCCAGAGTGAGTTCTAGGACAACCAGGGGTACACAGAGAAACCCTGTCTCAAAACCAACCAAACAAACAAAGAAAACAAAAAAACCCATTTGGCTAGGCATGGTGGTTGGTATCATTCTAGGCAGGTGAATTCTGTGAATTTGAGGCCAGCCTAATCTACATAGTGAGTTTCAAACAAGTCAGGGCTATACAGAGAGGCCCTGTCTCAATAAAAACAAAAAGCCCCCAAACATTCATTCATTCATTCATTTTGTGTGTGTGTGTGTGTGTGTGTGTGTGTGTGTGTGTGTTGCAACTGTGTACACCATAGTAGCTATGTGGATTTCAGAGGAAATTGAAGGAGTCAGTTCTTTATTTTTCCTACCATTGGGTGGGTATTGAACTCAGGTTGTCAGGCTTAGCAGCAAACACCTTTACTCATTGAGCCATCTCACCAGTCCCTTAAAACACACACACACACACACACACACACACACACACACACACACACACACACACACACACACACACAGGAATTACTTATCTTACTATATGCATATGATTGTTTTGCCTGCATGGGTGTGTGTGGGTATGTGTGTACTTGGTGCCTGAGGAGGTCAGAAGAGAGTGTTAAATCCCCTGGATTTTTGGATGGTTATCAGCTACCACATGGGTGCTGGGAACTGAATTTGAGTCCTTTGCAAAACAAGTGCTCTTAACTAAGCCATCTCTCCAGCTGCCCATACATACTGTTTTTTTTTTTTTTAATTGAAATATATTAAAGAATTTTGTCACTTGAAAGGGTATCTGTTTACCTGAAATACATGTCTGGGCCCCTGTGAGGGTGCTGAGCTTTTAATGGGTTTGTTGAAGTTTTGTCCTTGACTCTCCTTCTGTTAGGCATGTGGCATTGCTTCTAGCACTGGGGTTTGGATGCCTTGTTTCTGCCCTTCCTCCCTCTTTCCCTCTGCATTAACTGGCTTGGAGGTTTCTATGTAGATCAGGCTGACTTTAAACTCACAGAGATGTTCCTGCTTCTGCCTCCCTCTCCACTGCTGGAATTAAAGATGTCTGGGGTGGGTGGTGGGCAGCTTTGAGAATACTGGGAGTGCCACTTGTTTCCTTGACAATGTCTCTTCCATTAGGAAAATTACAAGAGTTTTAAGTTAAAGTACAGATTGAACATAGAAAGAATGGCATTTGGGACAGAAATGAAAGTTTGCCTCAACTGTTTTGGAGACCTGTGAAAAATACACTTTGAGTATTTTGTTCAGTAGAAGAGAAGTTTTGGAGGTGCAAGTCTCTGAAGTGAATAGGTTTCCAGACTCTGTTCCTTTCATGTGACATGTAGATCTGCCACATTTCATGCTGAAACTCCAAGTCAGATTATGTGACTGTAAGTACAGGCTGTGTCTTTCTTGTTGCAGGTGCTGGTCAGGTGTCATTTAGATACTTTGAGTCCACAGACGAAGCCAAGCGTGCCATCGAGGCTGTGCTGTCAGCAGACCCTCGATCTGTGTACCGACGGAAGCTCTGTCAGGACCGCCTTTTTTTCTTCACTGTCGACATAGCACACGTCACATGCTGGTTTGGCGATGGCTTTGCTGAGGTTCTTCGGATTAAACTGGCTTCTGAGCCTGTTGAGATGACTGACCCTGAGGAGTCCTTGGTGGCTCTGGGGTCTTGAGGAGCCCCATTGTGTTTTTAGACAGCCTAGCTGATCTCTGGATGTACCTGCTTTTGCCCTTTTACTGCTTTGGTTGGTGCCTTTTAAAATATTTATTTGAAGGAAATGGTTTGGTTTTGATTTTGATTTTTTGAGACTGTTTTCTATGTATCCTGGAACTTTCTTTGCAGACCAGGCTGACCTCAGACTCACAAAATCCACCTGCCTCTGCCTCCAGTGTGTGCCATCAAGCCTGGTGAAGGAAGTATGTTACTAAACTTCCCTGAGAGCTATAAGATATACAGTACTCACCGTGTGCTTTGCTCCAATGCTGAAGACTCCCAAAGTGCTGCTGTGGGTGACTGCCTGAAAATACTCATTATTTATTTATTTGGTTTTTCTGTTTTTTGGTTTTTTGAGGCAGGGTTTCTCTGTGGCTTTGGAGCCTGTCCTGGAACTAGCTCTTGTAGACCAGGCTGGTCTCAAACTCACAGAGATCCGCCTACCTCTGCCTCCCGAGTGCTGGGATTAAAGGCGTGTGCCACCACTGCCTGGCTTGGTTTTTCAAGACATGGTTTCTCTGTGTAGCTTTGGAGCCTATCCTGGAATTTGCTCTGTAGACCAGGATGGCCTTGAACTCACAGAGATCCGCCTACCTCTGCCTCTCGAGTGCTGGGATTAAAGGCATTTGCTACCACTGCCCATTGACATAGAATACTCTAATGGGTTTTCATGTAAAGCTGATCCATTCATCAGTTCACATTGGCTTTTCCCACTCAAGAGCCTGACCTCTCTATTGTAAATCACACTGAGTTACAATGTCTTGGGTGACTAACGAATAAAGCCAAGTGACTATAGAAATCTTTGGATTAAATTCCTGCATTTGAGGGACTTTGTTACACACACCAGCAAATAAAAACTCTGAGCTCCTTTGAATATTCTGAATCAGAAAGGAAAACTACCCCCACCTTAAGAAAGTCCTTACTGGTTTGTTTCTGACTCTGTGACTGTTAAGTGGCCATGACTCAGCTTTCGGTGTTAGCATGAGCTGAACAAACTGTGGGTCAGAATTAGGGTGCATCATGTACCCCAGGCTGGCCTGGAGCTCTGATCCTCTTGCCTCAGTCTCCTGGGTCTGGGAGCAGTGGGTCTGTGCCACCACATCTGGCTCGAGATGCATTTTGTGCCGCAAGTCATGGTTTGTGGAGGAAGTAGGCATAAATGAGTTAGTGTATTACAGTTTGATAAACTAATTAACACTGCACAGCCCTGTGCCATGCAGGAAGCGGTTATAGGAATGTGTGGCCTGTAGGTGATTTTAATGAGATGGTCTGAGATAACTGAAGATTTATGACTGGTGTAGTCAAATTAGACACCTGTCAACTTGACACTCTTTCCTGATCACAGCTCCAGATCTCAGAGCTGATTGATCATGGTTTGGAAACGCCCCCACGGCCTGTGGAAACTTGTCCAGACATTGTGGCTGATGACACTCCACTCCTGAGCCAGTCTGCTTTGCAGCTGTTTGTTGCCTTTAACGTTACTTACAAGGTTTTGGGACAAAATCTTAAATTCGATTTTTCTAAAGCTTGTTTATTTTTTTATTTTTTAAAAATACCAATCGTAAGAAGTTGTAAAAATAGCTCAGAGGTCCCTTCTAGCCTTTACCTGGCTTCTTCCAGTGGAAACATCTAAAGTATATTACAGTATTAAGCTAAGATTTTGGTTGGCATTGATAGGGCCTATCTTTTAGTCTGATACTGATGCCTTTTCCTGTGTATTTGTTCGTGTGGGTGTGTATTGTGTAGCTATGAGCACATGTGTATGTGGAGGCCGGAGATGGTATCCACATAAAACAAATAGATTACTATGAAAAAACCCAGGGCTACACAGAGAAACCCTGCCTCAAAAATCACCCCCAAAAAACAAGAAACCCTCAAAATTAAACAAAAAGCAAGAAACAAACAAACAAACCCTGAAAGTCTCTACAATTCAGTGAACTTCTTCCTATACAGTTAGAATTAGCGTTTGGAGTAGAAGTTGTGGAACTTCATTTTAAGTCTTTAAACTTTCAATATTGAATATATTTTATACTATTTTTGTGAGACATCATCTCACCATCTTGGAACTCACTATATAGGCCAGGCTGGCCTGGAACTCCCAGTACTTGCTTGCTTCTTCCTCCTAAGTGCTGGGATTAAAGGCGTGCACCACCACTGCTCTGCTTGAGTATATTTTATACTCCGATCCACCACCAAAACACAAGATCTGTGACAGAATTAGAACTAGAAAAACAAACAGCTCTATTTCCTCTTTTTTTTTTTTTTTTTTCAAGACAGGGTTTCTCTGTGTAGCTTTGGAGCCTATCCTGGCACTTGCTCTGTAGACCAGGCTGGCCTCGAACTCCCAGAGATCCACCTGCCTCTGCCTCCCAAGTGCTGGGATTAAAGGCATGCACCACCAACGCCGGCTATTTCCTCTTATATAATGCATGTGCCTTACCTTTTTAAATTTTTTTCTTTATTTTTAGTTATGTGTATGTGTGCGTTTGTATGTGGGTATTGCATATGAGAACAGGTGCCCAGGGAGATTGTGAGCTGCCTGGCCTGGGTTCTAGGGACTGCACTCCGATCCTCTATAAGATCAGTAGACATTAATTAAGTGTAGGAGTGTTTTGCTTGGGTGTGTGTATCTGTACCACACACATGCCTGGCACCCATGGAGGTCATAATAGGGTACCAGATCCCCTGGAATTGGAGTTACAGGTGATTATGAGTGCCATGTGGGCACTGGGAATCAAATCTTAACCACTAAGCTATCTCCTCAGCCCCTCTCTCTTTTAAAAAACTTTTTATTAGTTCTTTGAGAGTACATGTTTTGATCATATTCATCCCTCCAACTCTTCCCAAGTCCACCCCTGCCTACCCACCCAACCTATGTCTTTTTTTTTTTTAAACCCATAAAGACCATCATTTTGGGTGTGAGGACTTTCATTAGGACATGGTTGACTTCTCAGGGGCTACACTCTTACACAAAACTGTCTCTTCCTCTCCCAGCAGCTAACAGCTGCCAATAGTTCCTTGACTAGGGATGGGATTTGATGCCTCTCATCTCCACGAAGTGATTTGGTGGCTGGGGCTTGCACAAGTCTTATGTGTGCTGACAAACCACTGTGAGTTCATATTTACAGCTGTCTTGCTGTCCAGAAGATACTATCTTCTTGCAGTCATCCCTTGCCTCTGGCTCTTGTGTCCTTTTACATCCCCTCTTTTGTAATGATCCATGAACCTTGGGAGGATTGGGTGTGGTACAGATGTTTGTTTCTCAGGGCTGAGCGTCTGTAATCTCTTGTGCTCTGTTCCTTGGCATATAAAGTAGAAGGTTGAGAGCAGCGCAGTTTTGGGGGAAAAAAAAAAAAAAAAAAAAAAAAAAGACCCCCCCCCAGACCATACTTCCTCCCCCTCACTCTCCCAAAGGAAGAGAAGAATGATTATCAGCGGAAGAGTAGGAGGTGCAACAGAGAGTAGCACCTAGAGCCGGCTTCATGCTCGGAGTTTTTTGTTTTTTTCAAGACAGGGTTTCTCTGTATGGTTTTGGAGGTTGTCTTGGAACTTGCTCTGTAGACCAGGCTGACCTCGAACTCCCAGAGATCTGCCTGCCTCTGCCTCCCAAGTGCTGGGATTAAAGGTGTGCGCCACCAACGCCCAGTGTGTAATAATTCTTTACATTTGACTTTTTAATTCACAAAACAAGTTTAAAAATTCTGCCTCATTTGGTATCTCAACAATATTTTAGATTGTGTGTCTGGAATCTAGCTTTCAGCCTGTCCACAGACTGCTGTGGCCAACAGTGACCCAAAGCCTACTCTCCTTTATACATTTGTTTATTTTTTCATTTATTCACTTAAGTAAGTGTGTGTGTGTACCTGTGTACATGTATATGCGTGTATTTGTACCTGCAGAGGTCAGAGGACAACTTCTTGGAATGGATTCTCTCCTAAGTGGATCCTGGGGATTGAACTCAGGTCTCCAAGCCTGGCAGCAAGTGCCCTTACCCACTGAGCTATCTCACTGGCCCTCCAAAGTCTGTTCTTTTCTGGCTGGTGCTAAGATTGGACAATCATAATAAAAAACTACTCGGGCTGGAGAGATGGCTCAGAAGTTAAGAGCACTAGCTGCTCTTCCAGAGGTCCTGAGTTCAATTCCCAGCAACCACATGGTGGCTCACAACCATCTGTAATGAAATCTGGTGCCCTCTTCTGGCCTGCAGGCATACAGACAGAACACTGTATACATAATGAATAAATAAATCTTAAAAAAAAAAACAAAAACAAAAAACTACTCAACCAATGAAGCAAAAGAAAGTACACATGACACAGATGGGCTGACAAAGCTGGAAATATTTGGTGACCGGTCCTTTCAGAAATACTGGGGCCACTGACCTAGAATGTTGATTCTCTTAAGCCGTGTTTGAGTCCCAGACATATTTGTGAATGAAGTGTTGATGTTATCACATGAATGCTAAGATACTCTTTGTGATTGAAAAGGGTTTATATAACAGAAAACTTGTGGAGTAAAAGGTAAACTGTACCTTATTTTTCCATTTCCCATCCATATGTGCAAAATAAGGCTATATGCATGTGAGGTGGTTCTGGAAGGATGGGCACACACTGGTGAAGATGACTTGTTTTCTTGTGCTGTGGGTTGAACAGTGCACCCTGCCTGCTAGGTAAGTGCTGTGCTTCTGAGTCGCATCCCCAGCCCAATGGTGTCTCTGCAGAGGGTTCTCTGGAACTCACTGGGAAAGGCACTGCTTGCTCTATTCTCTACTGTGTCTACTGTGAATTTCCTCTGACCAGGAGCACACAGTATTTTTATATGTGGAACATAAGGCAAATGACCTCCATTCCAGTTGGAGAGGGTCTGACGTGGGTGAGTGTACACTAACTCATTAGTACACTCACCCACTCTAAGTCCTTCCTACCTTGCCCTCTGAAATATGGTGTTTATGATAAAGGACATGGCTTTTCCTGCCATGTCACCTGTGACTCACGGAGCCAAAACCTACCCACATCACACATGTGTTATGGAAATTACCACGTTCAAGCAGGTAACTTGGGCCGAACCCTCGTCCCTGAGAGTGGCCTCCTGTTTTCCTGCTCTCTCAGACCTTAAGACATAGTCTTGTGTCTCTGGGGAGTAGAAGGCTTTCCAGTGCATGATGATGCTGGCTGAGGTCTGAGCCACCAGCACTCCTTGGCCCAGAAATGGCCAAAGTGGTCCTTCCCGTTTGGACTGAGGGGCTCTGCTTATAGGGCCTACTCATTCGTCCCGTCTGTTGGCCCTCTGTGTACTGGTATGGTAGAGCACTCGCCTATTATGAGACTGCAGAGGTTGCTATCCAGGTGTTCCCAGGGCTGGCGTTGCCCTCTGTCTGGATAGGAGCCCTGAGCTTGGTCACTTGAGTCAGCAACAAAACCCACTTTGAAATCCAAGACTGGCTGTGTCTACTGAGTGAGTGTCTACACTGAGGTGTGTTTGGGAGGGTGGGGGGTGGGCAGGAGAAAGTCTAGGCAAGCAGGTTGGCTTGGCAGAGCCTGTGTGTGGTGTGCAGTATGTGGGACTGTCCATAGACTTGGAGGTGTCGGAGGAGTCTGTATCTGAGAGAAGTGGTAGAGCCAAGGCAGACACAGTCTAGGAACACTGGGGAGACTGGAGAATTTTTTCTCTCCTAACTTCGTATTATTATTGAAAAAGATTTATTGTGTGTGTATGAGTGTTTTGCCTGGTGTATGTAAATGCACCACATGTGTGCAGTGCCCTCTGAGGCCAGAAGGGGGTGTCAGATCCTCTGGAAAATGGAGCTACATACGAGTCACCATGTGGGTGCTGGGAACTGAACAGGCGTCCTCTGCAAGAACAGGAAGCTCTCCTAACAGCTGAGCCTTCCTGCCTTCCTATTCTTGCCAAGATGCATGCTCACGTACATTGAAAAATACTTCCGGCACTTGTATGGAGCTGGAGATGACTCAGCCATTAAGAGTGCCTGCAGCTGAAGTATGAGGGCCAAAGTTGCATCCCAGGACCCAGTAAAAGCTAGACATGGCTCCATATGTGCCTGTAACCCCAGCACGGGGGAGCAGAGACAGGAGGCTCACTGGGGCTTGCTGACTGCCAGTCTATTGAGAAACAAGAGCTCAGGGTTCAGAGAGAGACCCTGCTTCAGAGGAACAACAGGGTTACTAGATGTCCTCCTCAGGACATCTCTTCTATTCACATATATCACACCGAATAAAATTAAAAATTTTTTGAATGCAGAAAAGCACTTTTAAGTAATGAGGGGCAGTAAGGCAATACTAGTGACATCAAATTAAATAGGAGAAATTAGGGGAGTCATGCAAAAAAAGTGAGGTGGGAGGAGCTTGTGCATCAGCACTGACCCTCTCTGCAGATCAGCCTGCTTGGCAGTGACATTTCAAGGCTCCGAGGACATCAGTCCAGTAACTGAATATGTCGGGGAGGCCATCTCACACCATCTGTTTCTGAGTTGGCCTAGCTGCCAAGGCGCAGCTAAACAAAAACAAAATGAAATGAAACAAACAGGAAGAAGGGGAGATGTTTGTAGGTTGAGATTTTTGTTCTGTTTTGTTTGTTTTTAGACAAAGTCTCACTGTATAGTTCCAATAGGTCTCAAATTCACTCTGTAGACCAGTCTGGTCTCAGACTCACAGAGATCCATCTGCCTCTGTCTACTAAGTGCTGGAATCAAAGGTGACTGGCAACCAGGCAAGATGTTTATAGCATTTCCCCACCCCCAAGATAGTTTCTCTGTGTAGCTTTGGAGCCTGTTCTGGAACTTTCTCTGTAGACCAGGCTGACCTCAAAACTCACAGAGATCTGCCTGCCTCTGCCTCCCTTCCAAGTGCCGGGGTCAAAGGTGAGTGCCACCATCACCTGGCTGATATTTATGGTTTTATGCCACTAAATTTTGGAGTTGTTTGCTATTTAGAAAAAAACAAAAAGGTTAGGCTGCATCTAGCTACTGCCCTCCAGGATGCAGTGGAAGGTAGGGCTTTACAGGAGTGATTAGCATGAAAAAAAATCCTTAAATGGTAAATAAGGATGTATTTCTGTGAAGAAGGTTGTGAAAGAACAATAATACAAAATAGATAACTTTGGTTCATCTATGGAGATAAACAAAATTTTGGTTACTAAGGAACTTTTAATATATGTACAACGCTGCATTCATTATTCACCATCAAATAAGGTAAAATCCTAAACCAGGCCTGGTACACGTCTGTAATCTCAGCAATTGGGAGGTGGGGCTGGGAGGTCAGCAGGTCGAGGCTGTCCTGGTCTATATAACCCTGTCAAAAAACAACCAACCAAACAAAAAACCAGCTTGCTGGTGGCTTTAATCCTAACATTCAGGAGGCAGAGGTAGGTAGATCTTTGAGTTCAAAGCCAGCCTGGTATGCAGAATGAGTTCCAGGACAGCAAGGGCTACACAGAGAAACCCTATCTTGAATAACAAACGAACAAACTCCTGACCAAACAAACCAACCTTTCATCTTCTGCAACACAGATGAAACCAGATGTCATGGCAACTCTTATAAAGGAAACATTTCACTGAGGCTCGCTTACAGTTCACAGTTTAGTCCATTGTCATCATGGTGGGACATGGCAGTGTGCAGGCAGACAGGGTGCTGGAGAAGGTGCTGAGAGTTCTACATCTTTATCTAAAGGCAACAGGAAGCAAGCGTGTCTCTGGGCGTAGCTGGAGCATAGGAGACCTCAAAGCCCATCCCCACAGTGACACACTTCCTCCAGCAAAGCCACACCTCCTAGTAGTGCCGCTCCCTATGGGGGTCATTTTCTTTGAAACAACCACAGACACTAAACACAGAAATGCATCATATATTTAACTCTTGTGGAAGCTAAAAAAACTGATCACACCAAAGTGGAGGTTGGCATGGGACAGGTGGAGAGTTTGATCGAGGATATCAACATACGGGCACAGAGAGGATCCTAAAAGGAGAGTACCACAGAATCAGCTCCCACTACAATGAAATGCCCCTCCCACCCAGGCCTTCCACATCAGCCCCTCCTACCCAGGTCTAGGCCTTCCATATAAGCCCCTCCCACCCAGGCCTTCCACATAAGCCCCTCCCACCCAGGTCTTCCACATCAGCCCCTCCCACCTAGGCCTTCCACATCAGCCCCTCCCACCTAGGCCTTCCACAAAAGCCTCTTCCACCTAGGCTTTCCACATAAGCCCTTCCCACCCAGGCCTAGGCCTTCCATATGAGCTCCTCCCATCCAGGCCTTCCACATAAGCCCTGACTTGAGCATAACTAGAAAACGGTGTGTCACCAGGTTCTTGGGGAAGTGTTAGCCAGGCAAGGTGGTATACAGCTCTACTCCTATCCCTGGGAAAACTGAGGCAAGAAGATCTTAATTTCAGGTCAGCTTGGTTATTTAAGGAGACCTTCTTTCAAAGAAAAAAACAAGCTGGGTGGTGGTGGCGCACGTCTTTAATCCCAGCACTCAGGACGGGCTGAGTCAGGAGGATGTCTGTGAGTTCGAGACCAGCCTGGTCTACAAGAGCGAGTTTCAGGACAGCCTCCAAAGCCACAGAGAAACCCTGTCTCGAACCCCCCTCAGAAGAAGAAGAAGAAGAAGAAGAAGAAGAAGAAGAAGAAGAAGAAGAAGAAGAAGAAGAAGAAGAAGAAAGAAGAAAAAGCCTGTTAAATGGTGATATTGTCAGAGACACTGAACACTGGGACAAAAATTATGATACGACTCTGTTAAGGAGGCAAAGAAAATGGCATAAGCCAAATTCTCATTGTCCACATAACGGGGTCAGTGTAGAATGCCCAAGTAAGTACATGAAGATGGCGGGTACCATCCTACTTGAAAGTAAGTCTCTAAGGAGACGGGAGAAGTTCTTAAAGATAATACCTCTGGTTGCCCCGTGGGGCTGGAGAGATGGCTCAGTGGTTAAGAGCACCGGCTGCCCTTCTAGGAGACCTGGGTTCAATTCCCTGCACCTACATGGTGATTCACAATTTTCTGTAGCCTCAGTTGCAGGGGAACTGACACCCCTTCTGGCCTTCTGGGGCACTGCGGTCATGTGGTGCATATACAAATTTGGAGATAAGACACTCATAACACAAAATAAAAAGGGAAAGTATTTTTTAAAGGTGGAGAATATGAATTGTGGAGACCTCTGGTCACCCCTGACCCAGCATCTGGCTGAGAAATGTAATAGTTAATCTACGAGGCGGCTTCCTACAGCTTCTGCGGACAGGCTGGGATGGATTCAAGGTAGGCCAAGGGACACAGGCTCTGGCCAGAAGAAGCTCTTAATACAATTTTATAGAAAACAAAACCAAAAGACCTACTTAATGGTATTGCTTTGAAAAAACGCCAAGTTCTAAAAATGAAGTCGAAAGAAAACAGACCCACATTTCCTTCCTACTTGCAAGCCTGTCTTTCAAAGCATCCACTGCCTGGAAGGGCCGTTTGAAAATCAGATCCGCCCAGCTCTTTCTCAGAGCCCAGCACAGGGCAGGAGCGGGTAACACCGAGGGAGGGAAGCTTGAAGCGGCTTGCAGCGGGTCTGTTCTCATCGCGGCCGCTCATCCCTCCCACGTGTCCAACCCAGTGGGTCTGCGCTGCAGCACGCACCGCTTCAGCCCTGAGACTCTGGCCGGGTTCCAGGCGGTGTAGGCCCTGCTGGAAGGAGCCAGAGGAATGCCTGCAAGGCTGAGCGCATTCCGGGGCCGTGTGCAAATGCTGATGCAATCACCGCAGCGTTCTGGGGGCAGCCAGGCGCTGTAACCCCCAGCCCAGCAGGAAGGTACCGTGTCGGGGGCGTAGGGGGAAGGCGGGGGATAGAAAAGTATTTTTCACGATGTCTTTGGCTTTTGACTCCATGAAGGGCATTCCCGTTGGAGTAGAAACAGCTTTATGGTTCCCTTTGACTTCCCAAGTAGTTGAGATTGGCTTTTCTTAGATCCCTGTGTACCCAGGATTGGAGTGGGCTGCCGTGGGAAGTTGTGAGTTCCCTGCCTGGGGTGCGGAATAGCTAATTGGCAGCAAAGTTGTGGAGGCGAAAAGGACTCCAACACCAAGATGCTATGAGTCTTTGGTGCCCATTGTCCCTAAGACGCTGCCAGAGGTACGCAACCTGATGCGGATTTCACAACCATCTTCTCAGGTCGGTGATGCAAGCTCGTTCAGGAGAAAGTCCCGGCTGCTGAGACGGACCTTGGGCTGTTGGAGCTGCAAGTGCCTGACTCACGCTTCTCAGCCCATGCCAGCATTTCAGAGGGAAGCGATGCAGTCTCCCCCACTTCTTCCTCTGCTCGCCCCCTGAAGGCAAGCGTCCTTTCTCCGCCTTCCACTGACTACACATAACTCTCTGGGAGATCTCAGACACACCCCTCACTCAAACCCTCACCCTTGTGGATCTCAAGCTGTTTCCAGCCTTGACCTCATTCCTGAGCCCCTCGCCCACCGAGCCATCCGGGAGCCCAGCATCTTCGTCACCTCTCAGCATCTCACACGTATCCAGAAGGGGTCTGTTCTTCGGCCTTGGACCCGGCTCTCAGCTCCAGCTTAGTTCATTTCTAGGTGTTCAAGCCTCCACACGCCCCCTCGTGGTGCAGCTTTTTGGCCTTTTTCATTCCAACTCCATCACTGTCAATTCCGGTGCTCAAGTGTTGGCCAAGTGACTGGCCCCGTTTTCCTTTGCTTCCCACTCCTCCAAGCAATGCATTCTTCACACTGCCAGAAGGATGTGGGATACTGCCTCCACCAGGTGGTCATTCCCTTATGAACAAGTGCAAAGCACAAAAAGACAGACATTGGCAAGTGTGGGCGAGGATACAGGGCAGCCCAAGCCTTGGTGCAGATCCTGGTGGGTGTGTGGAAAGGCAAACAACTCTGGAAAACTGGTTGCATCCATTAAAGAGGGAAATACATAATCATGGCCTAACGAGACTGCTGCAAGATTCAAACCCAGCAAATACACAGCCACTAGAGCAGCACTCTCAACTTGTGGGTCACGACCCCTTTTTTGGGGGGGTGTCAAATGACCATTTCACCAGGGTCACCTAAGACCGTTGGAAAGCACAGATAGTCATTATAATTCATAACAGTAGCAATAAAAATAATATGGTTGGGGGTCATGAGGAACTGTATGACAGGGTCTCAGCATATTAGGAAGGCTGTGAACCACTGCCCCAGAGCATCACAGGGCACTGAAGAAAGGTGCTGTCTGTGGATGGGGCTGTTACAGAGCAGAAAGAAGAAACCCGACTTGTGTGTAGTGTAAGTCACATACATAGGTAAGACAGGGGGAAGTCCCTGGTGTGGCCAGGATGGTGCTTTGTCTGTGTGTATAGAGTTCCTGAGAGGGACCACCATGACATTCAGGAGTTTTTGATTGTTTGTTTGATTGTTTTGGTTTTTCGAGACAGGGTTTCTCTGTGTAGCTTTGGAGCCTATCTTGGCACTCGCTCTGGAGACCAGGCTGGCCTCGAACTCACAGAGATTTGCCTGCCTCTGCCTCCCGAGTGCTGGGATTAAAGGCTTGCGCCACCAATGCCCGGCGACATTCAGGAGTTTTAGCAATAATTTGTATCTTTTAAAAATTATTTCTGGGCTGGAGAGATTGCTCACAGGTTAAGAGCACTGGCTGCTCTTCCAGAGGTCCTGAGTTCAATTCCCAGCAACCACATGGTGGCTCACAACCATCTATAACGAGATCTGGTGCCCTTTTCTGGCCTGCAGGCATACATGTAGGCAGAACACTGTATACATTATAAATAAATAAATCTTTAAAAGGTTATTTTTAGGGGCTGGAGAGATGGCTCAGAGGTTAAGAGCACCGATTGCTCTTCCAGAGGTCCTGAGTTCAATTCCCAGCAACCACATGGTGGCTCACAACCATCCCTTATGAGATCTGGTGCCCTCTTCAGGTGTGCAGATATACATGTAAGCAGAATGTTGTATACACATAAATAAAATAAATAAAATCTTTAAAAAAGTTATTTTTATTAATTTAAAATTATGTATCAATATTGTGTGACTATGTGCACAGGAGTGCAAGTACCCTCTGAATCCAGAAGAGGGCGCCAGATCCCCTGGAGCTGGAGTTAACAGATGAAGGTGAGGTGCCTGAAATGGCTTTTGGGAACAAAACTCTAGTTCTCTGCAAGAGCAGCAAGTGCTCTTAACTTCATAGCCATCCGTTCAGCCCCAACAACTGTATTGTGTGTGTGTGTGTGTGTGTGTGTGTGTGTGTGTGTGTGTTTAAGATTATTGCCAGGCAGTGGTGGTACATGCCTTTAATCCCAGCATTTTGGAGGTCAGCCTGGTCTACAGAGTGAATTCCAGGACAGCCAGGGCTATTACACAGAGAAACCCTGTCTCGAAAAACAAAACAAAGTAATTTATTTTATGTGTATGGGTGTTTTGCCTGCGTGTACGTCTTCGTATCATGTGTCTGGTGGTTGAGGTCAGAAGAGAGGGTTGGATCCCCTGGAATTTGAGTTGCAAATGGTTGTGAACCACCACGTGGGTGCTGGGAACTGAATCCAGGCCTTCTGGAAGAGCAGCCAGTGCTCCTAACCACCGAGGCATCTCTTTAGTCCCAACATCTAATTTTTACTCTTTCCTCCCCTCTCCCTCAACCCCCCTTTCCTTTCCTCTAGAGTCTCACTATGTAGCCCGGCTGGCCTTTTAACGCCAACCCTCCTGTCTCTGTCTCCCAAGCGCTGGGATTCCAGGTATGCCTGGCGATGATTGGTTTCCTTACCTGGCTGCTGTTTCCATAGGTGTGGTCAGTTTCTGAGAAGTTTTGCCATGTATCATTTATACTTCCATAGAAACTCACTAGACCCGCCTCCCTCCATATATACACAGGGACAGAAAGCCTCCTCCCCGGGTGCTCAAGCCCAGAGGAGAATCCTGCAAAGCTGGAAACAGACTAAGCCTTACCGTACGCTCACAGACCTTCAGGCCTCCTTTCCATCCATACCTTCGCTGTCCGCCATCTAGGCCACTCCTGCTTCTGATGGCTGGTCTGTGTCCTGGAGTCCTTTCTCTGCGTCTTCAGCATGGGTCTCTTTACATGGTTCTGTCTGAGGACACCACCTCCGTGAGATTTCTCAAGCCTCTCTGGTGGCACAGCACCTCCACGTGTTACTCCTCTCCGTCTCCCAGCTCTGGTCTGTGCTTGCCTGTAATTCCCTTTAAAGGGAAACCTGAGGGGTGGTAAAAATGGTGTCTCTTTCACCTTTGTAATAACCCCTGGGGCCAAATCTGTGCCTGGTACGGTGCCTCAGCTAATGAGTGTTTGACAAATGATCGCATGTGCGTTCACAGTTAAGCTGTCATCCGTCCTGCCAGAAAACCAAGGCACCCAGCATGTCAAAAAGAAAAAAAGAAAAGAAAAGAAAAGAAAAGCCCTCTTGTGCAGGAACAAGCCCCTTAAAAAGTCAACACAACATCCTGCTGGTCCTTCATGGGCTGCTGACAACCCAGTAGATGGAACTGTGTTCTGCAGCATTGTGGGCGTGTCCAATTAGACTCGGTGAGACCGAGCTGCCCTCCAACATGAATAAGCCTTGCAAATATGTGGTTAATGACCATGTCGCTCCGTGTCAGTTCTTAATCCCAGATAATTAGCAGATAGATAATTGGTGGAAGAACGGGAGGTGCTGACAGACGGCCCATCACTTGGGTGAAGTTAATGATCCTCTGTGGATTAAGCCCCACCCTCTGGGAGTGTTGATGGCTGCTATTTGAAATGCTCCTTTTGAAAGGGCCTGGATCCAAGAAGAGGTGTCAAGAACTCCAGCTCGGGGCGTGGCATCAGAACTAATTCCCTGAGCTGCTTCCGGGAAGGTGGGTGGACAGATACAGGGCAGCAAGCCTGGAACAGGCCGCTGGGGTCCTGTGCTGATCACACCCTACTGAAGCCTCACTTGGCCCTTCTCTTCCCTGGGTTTTGCCGTGTCAGTAAGGATGCATGGTGGGGAGAGAGAATGTGTAAGAGACAGGATTTTGCCTAGGCGGCCACTCTGACTTAGAAAGTGGATTTTTGTTGTTGTTTTTCATTTATTTGGGTAGTTTGACTGGATGATACTACCTGTGGAAGAAATATTTGGGGGAATGAAGAGACGTCTGGAGCTGGGTGGTGGTGTCGAACTCCTTTAATCCCAGTACTCGGGAGGCAGAGGCAGGCAGATCTCTGAGTTTGAGGCCAGCCTGGACTACAGTGTGAGTTTCAGGACAGCCCAGGACTACACACAGAGAAACCCTGTCTGGAAAATAAGAACAAGGGGTGGGGGTTGAGATGTGAGTTGGCAGGGCTTCTAGTGAGCTGATACAGGGCCAGCTAGCTGCCCACCATGCTGTGTTCACTGGGATCCTTAGTGTCAGGTCATCCCTGGGAGGTGACACTCAAGCCAGGCTGCTTCCTGGGCCTGCTGCCTGCTCCTAGGAGTGGGGAGGTGGTTTTCACCAGAATGAGGTTGAGGGTGATGTGGTTGTGTCATGTCTAGGCCTGGACCCCAGCACCACACTACCCTCTTCACTTTCCTGTCATGGAGGTCACTTCTCTTTGCTGCCTGGATTTCTAGGAAGGCAAGAAGCTAAGCCCAAATCACCACACATAGCAAAGGGACACAGGCATCCATCTGCATGGGTGGTCCATGACTAGGCCACAGTTAGAGATGCCTTGGTTGCCCCAGTAAGCAGGAAGCCAGTTTGTTTCTGTGGGGCTGCTTCTGAGAACTCAAAAGGGAAATTCAGTTACAATTTAGAGCTTTGAAAACTGTGAGCTAAGGCATCTGTGTAAAGGAAATTTCTGATATCAGCAACATGCAAACACTGCAAAACAAAAGGAAACAAACTATCCAAGAAGCAAGCAAGCAAAGCTCCCAAAGTCCTCTTAATAAAGCAACTTGAAGGTTGAAAGATTCTTGCTGTTTGTTTTGAGAGACAGGATCTTACAATATAGGCCAGGAGGGCCTTGTTCTCCTGCATCAGTCTTCCCAGTGCTAGGGACACACATGTGCCATCATAACTGACCATAAAGATGGAAGAAAATCATATTGCCAGACAAGTGTCAGAATCAAAGGAGCACAAAGTGACTGGGTCCTGTCACACATTCAGAGGCTTAGGGCAGTGGCGTCCACAAGGGTCAGCCTTGGAATTTGTTAGTGTCTAGAGACCTTTGTCACATCCCTCTGGAGGGGGTGGGTATTGTCATCTAGAGGACTGCACCAAAGATGCAGCCACATGTCCTACAACACAGACTCATTGACCAAAGTGTTACCCAGCCCTGAACACCAATAATGTGGAGGTAGAAAGTTCTGGTTTCATGGTTTCCTAAGAACGGTAGGACAATGATGGGATTCTCTGCAGGCTTCAGATTTCCAGAGGTAATGGTGTGGGAAAGAGCCCCTCCTAGGGGAATTCTGCCAAAGCCCTGGGGTGAGTGGGTGTTTGTAAGCTATGGGTCAGATGGCTCCATGGGTCAGGGAAGGCACCAACCTGGGACCCTGGGCAACAGGTTTGCCGATACTTGATAATGTGGAGAGTAAAACCCAGCCTAGGACAAGAGGAAGAGATAGATATGAGCTGGGTATTGTATCGGAGGATGGATTTGACTCCAAATTGTCCTTTTGAATTGTTAAAAAAAATAGTGTCTCACTTTGTAGCCCAGTATAGGATGAAATTTGTGGCAATCCTTCTGCCTCAGCATTCCAAATACTAGGGTAAGCTACAGAACTCTCTCTGTAGACCAGGCTGGCCTCAAACTCACAGAGATCTGCCTGTTTCTGCCTCCTAAGTGCTAGGATTAAAGGCATGTGCCACCAACACCCAGCAGACTTCACAATTTTTGAAAAAGATTTATTTTTATTCTCTCTCTCTCTCTCTTTCTCTCTCTCTCTCTCTCTCTCTCTCTCTCTCTCTGTGTGTGTGTGTGTGTGTGTGTGTGTGTGTGCACATGAGTGCAGGTGTTCTTGGAGGCCAGAAGAAGGCATTAGCTCCCTTGGAGCTGGAGTTATAAATGGCTGTCAGCTGACTGACATGTGTTGTGCTGGGAACTCTGGTCATCTGAAAGAACAGGAAGTGCTTGTAACAGCTGAACTATCTATCTATCTATCTATCTATCTATCTATCTATCTATCTATCTGTCTATCATCTATCTATATCCAGAAAATCTTGAACCTGCAGTAAATTTCTTTTGTTTTCTTTTTTTTAAGATTTTATTTATTTATTATGTACACAACATTCTGCTTCCATGTATATCTGCACACCAGAAGAGGGCACCAGATCTCATAACAGATGGTTGTGAGCCACCATGTGGTTGCTGGGAATTGAACTCAGGACCTCTGGAAGAGCAGTCAGTGCTCTTAACCTCTGAGCCATCTCTCCAGCCCTTGTTTTCTTTCTTATCTTTTTTTTTTCCTTTAGAAATTTCCCTTCAGGTTCAGATTTGGATACTATGTTATTACCATGTTGTATGACCCATGTTGTACCATGTCTGATCCATATTGCCCAATTAGGGGCACCAATCACAAGATGGTCATGTACAGGGTGGCCTTGTCCTGGAACCTCTGCTTCAACTAGCCATGATTGCATCATTGAAAAACCTTGGGGGTTCAAGAGGATGGAACTTAAGGAAAGCATGGAACCCAGTGGTCCCTCCCTGCACTCAGTTAGCTGGCTAGGCTCCTGTTCTACAGGCACTTGTCAGACCTCTCTGAGTCCATTGTTCTTAGTAAAGTGTATGTGTGAGTGTGTGCACGAGTGTGTGTGTGTGCACGTGCGTGAGTGCGTGAGTGTGTGAGTGCGCGCGCGCATGTGTGTGTGTGTGTGTGTGTGTGTGTGTGTTTAGGCCAGAGGTCAACTTTGAATATTATTTCTCAGGTGCCACCTACTTTATTTTGAGTTAGGGTCTTTCATTGGCCTGGTGCTTGTCCACTAGTATAGGCTGGCTGTCCAGTGATGGAGCCCCAGGGACACCTCATGCTCAGATTACAAGTGTTTATCACTATGCTGGGCTTTTTAAAAACATGGGTTGTGGGGATTGAATTCAGGTTCTCACACTGTGTGACAAGCTATCCCCCCTAGGCCTATGAATATTTTTGAGGAGCTATTCATCCACATAAAAGAAGGGATAGACACTACACTCATCACCGTCATCGTGTAAACTGAAGTTCCCAGAGAAAAAGCCTCACACAGTGAAGACTGCTCTGCTGACTGATTGGAACTCCATGACTGTAGAGAGTTGGAACGTTACAGATCCAGACATCTTTGGCCATCTTTAGTCCCATCAGTGGCCATTTAACACCCACCTTCTGTGTCTGACCTGGTGTCCTTTCCACTCTCAGGTAAAACCTTTGGGATGTATTAATTTAGCAGACACTAGCTTCCCTGAAGCCCACAACAGAGTGACACCTCTTTGCTCTGACCTGCAGGCCTTCTGTCATCCCCAAGGCATTTGTTCAGTGCCTTGGCTTATGGCTTTGTTGTTGTTGTTGTTGTTGTTCTGTGACTATTAAAATTTTGTGTAACCAATTCCACACCAGATCATGTCATTCAGGAAACCTAATCTGTGTTCCTGGGCCATGATCACTCATGATTGGCAGAGAAAAAAAAATCACCTCATATTCCCTTTGAGGGTTACAACTGTGTTTTGGCTGGCAACTAGCATCATATAAACCTTCTTTTAAAAGATTTATTTATTTTTATCTCATGTGTATGGGTGTTTGCCTGCATGTATGTATGTGTATCACATGAGTGTAGTGCCTCTGGGGGCCTGAAGAGGGCATCAGATTATCTGAAGTTGAAGTTGAGAGATGGGAGCTGGTATGAGATGCTGGGAACAGGGCCTCTGTCCTCAAGTGCTCTCACTGCTGAGCTATCTCTCCAGCTCCAGAGAAGCCTTCCTGAACGCACCTTAAGGAAAGACAGCATAGACTGACCTCTCCCATATTTCTTTCTGATTCCTTCCCTCTGGACACAAACACCAACTAGTTGGGGCTAATGGGTTCTTTCTTTAAAATTATTAATTTTCATTTTGTGTGCATTGGTGTTTTGTGTGCATGTATGTCTGGATCTTCTGAAACTGGAGTCACAGACACTTGGGAGCTGCCATGAAGGTGCTGGGAATTGAACCTGGGTCCTCTGAAAAAGCAGCCAGTGCTCTGAAGTGCTGATCCATCTCTACAGCCCTGATCAGATCTTTCTGCCTGTCTACCTGTCGTCGTCGTCATCATCGTCACCGTCATCTTCCTCTTCATCTTTTTCTTCTTCCTCCTCTTCATCACTATTTGCAGTCCTGGGGATTGAACCCAAGGCCTCTACATTCTGGGAAAGTGCTCCACCCCTGAGCTGCATTATACCCTGACATCTGTGTACTTCTTTAGAGTCCCGCCTATGGTGTGGAAGACATTCTTCAGCTCCTCGGGCGCAGTGTTGTTTACAGCAGGCACCCACTCTGACTGCCTAAGGGCTGTGTTGGACTAGTCAGTAGATCCCAGAAATGTGAGCCTCCATGCAGTTTGTCTCATCTGTTTTGTGCTTTAACTAACAGAACATTAACCTTTTCAGTGCCTGCTGTTTACACTCAATGCTTTCATGATTTATAAAGAGCAATGCACAGGGACCCTGTGAGTTCTTTACCCAGTCTTTCCCAGGGTAGTGATGCCCTGTAAGAAGGGGGATGGCATAGGTAAGGCAGATGGTAGCACAGGCCAGGCCAGGGTGAACAGGTCTCTCAGGTCACCATTTTCTATCCATCCCTACTTCCTTTCACCTACATCCATTCCTAGCCCTTGGTAGTCACTAAATTGTTTTCCATCAATGCAAAACTGTTACATGAGGCCTGGAGAGGTGGATCAGCAGTTAAGGGCATGTAATCATCTTGCTGAGGACCCGAGTTTGGTTTCCAGCACTTGGGCCCGCCAGATTACCACTGCCCATAACTCCAGCTTTGGGGGAGTATGAAAACTTCTTCTGACCTCCACAGGCACCCAAGGTGTGTACACCAACATACAACACACAGTCACATAGTTAAAAATAAAATAAAAAAAAACATGTAAAAGTCAGGTGTGGCACAGGACAGGCAATTGTGTGTCAATAATTTATGCCTTTTTCTTGCTGAGTAATGTTCCATGGTAAGAATGTTCCATGATTTAGTTATTGTGTTGAAGAATGTGAGTCTTTTTCTTCTAGCTAAAAAATATCTATTATCTACACAGGCCCAGAACCAGGGCTATGAGTTAGCCCACCCCAACATTCACCCCATCTATGATCTGAAGGAGCACGTGAAGGGGCCTGTTCTGCAGATCCAAAGCTGCAGGGTCTCCAGGACACAGAGCAACAACAGGATAACCATGAGGAGCCCCAGTGAGGGCCCAGTAGCAACAGCATGGCAGAAACCAGAGGCCTCAAATCAGACCAATGACTCTTTGCAAAGAACTCTTGCAAGAAAAGAAATGTGGACAAAAGGGTCTACTGTGTGACTCACTGTGGCATACTACAGCTTCCATGATGAGATTTTTCTTTCTTTCTTTTTCTTTTTTCTCTCAAACTTTATTTTATTTGACTTTGGTGGGGGAGGCTGCAAGGGCAGAGGGCATCTGGATGCAAATGCACGGGAGATGAGTGGGATTGAGATGCCTGATGTGAAAGATACAAGGAATAAATAAAAAAGAAAGTTTATAATAAAAATATTTATTTTTTATTTATGTGGATGCATATGTATGAGTGCATGCCGTGGCTGCGCAGGGGCCCTCAGAGGCCAGCAAATGACAGCAGATCCACTGGAGCTGGAGTTACAGATGCTTGTGAGTCATCCAGCTTGGGTTCTGGGAACCAAACTGGACTCTAGTGCAAGAGTGGTAACTGCTTTTAGCCGCTGAGCCATTGCTATAGCTTTCCCGCTATCTTGTTCTTTCTTCTTTTTTGGTGTTATTTTGCTGATATGAATAAAGTGACTGCAAACATTCATGAGTTTTTTTTTTAAAGATTTATTTATTTATATGTGCATTGGTGTTTTGCCTTTACGTGTGTCTGTGTGAGGGAGTTGGATCCCTTGGAACTGGAGTTACAGTCAGCTGTAAGCTGCCATGTAGGTGCTAAGAATTGAACCTGGGTCTTCTGGAAGAGCCGCCAGTGTTTTTAACCACTTGGCCATCTCTCCAGTTCTCATGAACTGCTTTTAGTGTGAACAAATCTTTTTTTTTTTTTTCTAGTATGAATGCCCAGGAGTTTGAATGTTGAGTCATATGGTGGTTCCGTTTTGGCTTCCGGGGACTGCCAAGCTGAGTGGCCTTCCCACTCTGAACCCCCACAGCCCTGTCTGAGTGAGCAGTCTCTGGCTCCTTGCCAGCTTCTGTTGGCGTCACTGCTTTTATCTGTGGTTTTAATTGCACCTCCCTGGTGGCTGACAATGCTGCCCTTCTCTACACAGTCCCTTTACCATCCTCTTGATGAAAAATCTCTCTATCTTGTTTGGTTTTTTTCCTGATGATCTTTGAGAGTGGTCTGTAGACTCTACAAGGGAATCCTTTGTCAAATGTGTGGTTTTCAGATATTTTCTCTCTCTCTGAAGCTTTCCTTTTTTCTCTTTTAAAAAGATTTATTTATTCATATGCCTGCATGTATGTATGCCTTGTGTGTTACCCATGGAAGCCAGGAGGGAGCGTTGGATCCTCAGGAACTGGAGTTGTGAGCCTCCATGTGGGTGCTGAGAATGGAACTGGACCCCCTGCAGGATCAGCAAGTACTCTTAGCCACTAGGTCATCTCTTCAGCCTCCCACCAACTGCCTTGGTTTTTCATGACAGGGCTTCTCTGTGTTGTCCTGGCTGTCCTGGAACTCACTCAGTAGACCAGGCTGGCCTTGAACTCATAGAGAT